AACTATGCTGTTGTTTCATCTTAAATTTTGAACATCCTACTTTGATCCGCTAGGCGGTGGTGATTTTATAATGTTTCAACACGTGTTTTAATTTTTTGGACACCCAGAGTTTTATGTCTTAATATTACCTGGTTTTTCTATGATTAGTCACATATGCAGAGAACTGAGAAATTGAGAGTCGCCAGTGAGGTATTTAAGTTTGGTTTTAGCAATGTTTTTAATTGTTGTATTGGGATTTATTGTTTGAGCTCACCACATGTTTACAGTTGGTATGGATATAAAGAGAATGACCTTCTTTAGTGCTGTAACAGCATTAATAGGTATACCGACTGGTCTGAAGGTGATTTCCTGGGTGTCCATGCTAACGTCTGTATCTGTTGGCTTAGGGTATCCTGTAGTTTGGTGGAATATTTCATTTATTATATTATTTAAACTGGGCAATATAACTTGAATAGTGTTGTCTGCTTCAAGTTTAGATATTAATTTACATGATTTGTGGTTTGGGGTTGCCCACTTTTACTATGTATTGTAACTTGGTTCTTATTGATATTTTTTGGTGGTGACCCGTCTTAACTGGTTATAAGATTTCTAAGATTTATGCTCAGGCTCCTTGTGTTTTTTCAGCTGTTGAATTTAAATTGTGTTTTTTTCCAATGTATTATTTTGGGATGTGCGTTTTACCGCCTCAAGTTTGTGTTTATGATACGTCCTTTTATTGGATGAATGGCGTGTGTACTCTGGGTAGGTTTTTGTCTTCTTTAGTGTTTGTTTTTTTATGTATATTCTGTGGAATTCGTTAAGGGAACGAGATTTGGTTGTTGAAAGTTTTTGTAATACAGGGTTCATCATAAAAATAATGTTTTGACCTATGACGTTTCATTAGGTGTTTCACAGAAAAACAGTGGAAACATTCTTTCTTGTTAGTGGAGAGCATCAATAATATAAGTTGTTAGTATTCTATCTTTCCAAGTTAGGTGTTGAATAGGCAGTTGGTGTATTTCACTTAGTTTAAGTTTATGATTGTAATTTTGTAATTTATGGGTGATTGTTTTGATCAGTGTGTTTGCTATTAAGCTTTGGGTTGTTTGCATCATGATAAATCGAGATATTTAAATTATTCTTATTTTTCGAAATTAATAGATATAGTTACCTGTTGTTTTAGAACTACTAGTAGTAGTAGTTGTTCAAAAATAGTTGGTTGGTTAAGCAATTTTATTCACTATTAATTATTTCTTATTGTTCTATTAAATTTTAATTAAAACACCACTTGATGAGGAGTGGTGTTGAATTAGATTGTTGTGTGGTTATTATATGATGTGTTATGTTAGAGGCACTTAACAATAAAAAAGCGTTAAAGCTTAGAATCTCGAAGTATTCCATCGATTGTATAATAGTAAACTTTGAACAATTTGGTTTGTTATAATGTTTTAATAAATAAATAAATAAATGTGTATTTTCTTCTAAAAATTATTTCAACTGTTTATCGAAAACATTTCTACTTGATGAAAATAAGAAGTAGTGCCTGATCAATGTATTTAATATAAATTACCGCATTAGCGTGAGTGTTCCAAGGTAGCATAATTACTTGCTTTTGAATTGGGAGATTGTTTGAATGGTCTAATGGAAGTAACTAAAAATATGCATACAGGGTTGAATTTAACTTGAGGGTACAGAGGATTCAGTGTTTTAAT